CAAAAAACCCCAAAGCCCCCCCAAAGCCCCCCAGCCCCTACCCGCACGGCCACGCGGTGCACGACTTGCTGGGGGTCGCTCTCCAGGATGACCCTGAGGGGACACGGACAGAGGGACAGATGGACAGAGGGACACGGGACAGAGGGACACGGGACACAGGGACATGGGACAGAGGGACAGATGGACATGGGACAGAGGGACACAGGACAGAGGGACAGATGGACACGGGACAGACGGACACGGGGACAGAGGGACAGAGGGACAGATGGACAGATGGACACGGGACAGAGGGACACGGGACAGAGGGACAGAGGGACACGGGACAGAGGGACAGATGGACACGGGGCAGATGGACATGGGACAGAGGGACAGAGGGACACGGGACAGAGGGACAGATGGACACGGGGACAGGGACAGATGGACACGGGGCAGAGGGACACGGGGACATGGGACAGAGGGACAGAGGGACACGGGACAGAGGGACAGATGGACATGGGGACACCTCAGCACCAGGGGGTGACAGATCCCAAGGAGAAGTGACAGGCACAGTCCCGGGGGGTGACAAGTGACACGGTGACAGGTGACAGGGTGACAGGTGACACGGGGACAGGTGATGGGTGACAGGTGACAGGTGACAGGTGACAGGGACAGTCCCACCCTCCGTCCACGATCTCGTCCACGGCCAGGAACAGCCCCTCCATGTTGTCCAGCAGCGCCCGGCGCTCCACGTTCTTCCTGGGGACACCGAGGGACAGGGTGGGACACCATGGGGACACGGGGGGGACAGGGTGGGACACCCGGGGGACAGCCAGGGACACCCAGGGACACCCAGGGGACAGCCAGGGGACAGCCAGGGACACCCAGGGACACCCAGGGGACAGCCAGGGGACAGCCAGGGGACACCCCAAACAAGGCATTCCCCCCTCTGGGCTCCCCCAAGTTGCCCCCCCAAGACTCCCTCGAGGATACCACGACCCCCCTGTGACCCCCAGGTGTGTCCCCAGTGTCCCCAGTGTCCCCCCAGTGTCCCCCCCCGTGTCCCCAA